ATAGATAGATAGATAGATAGATAGATAGATAGATAGATAGATAGACAGACAGATAGACAGACAGATAGACAGACAGATTGATAGAGAACAAGTACTTCTACTATATCTAAGATAACTCACGTTCAGTGTGGAATCATTAGGCAAACACAAATTTGCCACAGAATTTGATGTGAAAACATATCCGAGAAAATGAAATCTGATTAGGTACAAATCAACTGACTGACCTGAATGGTGGGTGTGGAACGGTTTTTTCGGGTCGTGGTAGTGGCCATAGTAGTGGTGGTCTCCATAACAGTGGTGGACATCTCTGGTGGCATGGAGGTTGTGGGTGCTGTTCCCAAGATGGAGGGCACTTCTCCAACCAGACGGACACTTCCATTTATCTTGATGTTGGGGTTGTTCTCTGCAGCCATGTTCAGTACTTTCAAGCCATTGTAGTAGAGACCGGACAGCTGACCTTGGAAGAGACGTCCTCTGTCTTTTCCTCCAATGGCTATTTGCGCCTGGGTGTTGAAGATCGTTAACTGTCGTCCTAAGTGGAGGGGTGAACAATATTATTGCCAGGAATATTTCTCCTTTTCCAAGCCCCCTTTATCCCGAGTCTGCTGAAATGAACTGAAGATCAGAACAAGTTTCCTGATGGTGGTGGTGGTAATGGCAACTGTGGTGGGTTGAATGGCAGAAATGCAATACTATCAATAGCTGCCCTGATGTGTTACAAATCATGATACATCCCAACAACAAAGCATGGATCCAGATCTTCTTGATAAACATAAGAAAATTCAGGATAACTTTTTCCAACCTTTGATCTCATTCCAGATCTCTGATCTGACTTATTGCAAGTGATATATTAATAGGGGAACTTGGGAGAATTTTGAATCTGTCCCAGCCACTAATATGCCCTTAGTTTTTGCTTACTCCAGAATGTAAAAAAAAGAAAAACCTGGATCCTCAAATGGATATAGCATAGATTCAGCCCTGGTCTATGATTTGGCAAAAGATGGAAAACACAGATATGTGCTAAGAGATGAAAGTATGCATGGTTCCTTGTAACTTGTAATAGCTACATTTAAGGATGTAGAAGACAGAAACTAGTTTTGAATAAAGCTTTAATTTAATGCAGCTTTTGGATTCTCCTTGCTGTGAAAGAGAAAGTATATTTCAATATTGAGTTAGTGCATTCAAATGAACTTATAATATTGAGCCTCATTTTCAAATGACAACTGTATTTGTTATCTACTGTACAGTTTTATACTGAAGGTGGGAGATCACATGGTCAGACATTCTGCCATTCAAAACAATTCCTTCCATAGAAAAATGTAAAATTTGGAGAAAAGGTTTCTAGTTGTCTCCTTGATATGTGAGCATGTCTCTACTTGCAGTAGGCCTCAGTCAATAAGGAAGGGTTTTACCTGATTTTATTTTTGGAGGGCTACTTTGAGAAGGGGACAGAAGATACTGTACTAAGTCAAAGCTCCACTGAAGCCCCAGAGTAAACTGCCAGAAATTCTCACAGTATACATTCACAATTGTTTTAAACATCTATCTTCCCCTAAAGTGTGGAGGAATGATACACTGGAAGGGGGGAAATATGGGGAAAATATGTCCAGTTGCTAACAACAAGCTATACACTATAGATAACAATATGGTGAATGTAACTGAATTCATTGAGACCAGAATATTTCAGAATATTTTTAAGGAAATCAGGGAGGATGTATTTCTGGCCAGAAGACCCCACAAATAATAGTTAATTCTTCTTTCCACATACAACTCAAGAGTGAGTTCACACCATCAACATAAGGGACAATGCATACATTTGATAGATATTTCTACTTACTCTCTTACCCCTCTCCCATCGTCAGGAAATTGTAGGAAATTATCAGTGATGATGGAGAAATACAATCCATGGAAAGAGCGTTTCCACATACTGAGTTAATCAAATGATAGTTGCAATTTTGGGGTGATAAACCTGATATGTGAACTCACTCTACCTTTATTCTATACAATTTGTCAGTAAAAGGACATAGAGTGTGCTGAATCAGGTGAATGCTGAACAAAGAACCATACTGGCTACATTTTATAAAGCAAAGCAAAGTTCATCAATATTAGTTCATTCAATCGTTCAATTCAGTTTTCTCCCCTTCCCCCCCTACACATTCCCATTCAGTCTATTCACACTCACCACTTTCTTTAGTCCACTCTGCTGAATGCCACCATGTACAAAGCCAAAGCCTAATCCCCCCCATCCATTCCCTCATAGCCAGTGGTTAAAGCAGATCAGAATAGGAGGGGGAGCTCACCAAATTTTGTCGTCGTGGCAGGTCTCGACGCCAAGTGGTGATGCGGTGTTGCATCATCTAATGGTGACAGGATGGATCATGGGGAAGAGAATGGGGACAAGAGAAGAAATGTATCTGAAAGGTGTTCCTATTCCCCAAGGAGGACCCTAGCTAACCAAGCAAAGGAGATGTGCATGTGAAATGCTTAGAGTATGAGACAGTGCAGTGCATATCCCCTACATATGCCCCACTGCCGTTACTGTAAATAAAAATATCTAGACTTGAGCAAGATGGTTTAGTGTACAGATGTAAAAATGCCAACTTAAATAAAATGAAAGGTTCAGGGTATTTTGCCTTTGGAAAGCAATGGAATTTGCATTTTTGATATCTTTTTTTATTTCCTGTCTCCTTTCATGCTTACCCTTTCCTGACCATATGGGACTTTTAACATGTAGCTCTAGTGCTGACACATTACCGTTATCTATGTATGGGAGGACAGCAATTTTTGCAGGGCTCAATTATTTTATATAAAAATAATTGCAATAGTGGTAATCTCTCTAATCAGCCATTATTAGATAGTAGAGATGATTGTAATAACATGGCTCTGCTCACAGCAATTTCTTTTGAGTAATGAAATGATAGCTCTAGTTATCGTTTGGAAAACTATGGCGGCTCTCATTAAAACTGGCAATACTATTCAGTTTATAGGCACTTTCGTTTAAGAGTACCATATTGCATTTCTACCCTCAAAACTAATTTTTATATCCCTTCTATACCACTTTCATGGAGTGACATCAACTGAGACAATGGCATCTGAGGCAGATTTTTTTTTACCTGGCTGTGACTTTTCCTAGTAAGAAAAAGTTATTTCCTTGGACTTTTTCCAGAGTTGCCATGGAATTCCATATAAAGGAGCACTTTCCAGACTTGTGAATTTCTGAAAAAAGTAACTTCCCCCTCAAAGAGCTGCAAAAGACAACCTTTGGGGAAGGGAGACTATTTCAAAGAGCTCTTAATTCCCTGGGCAGCTCAGATTTACACAGCTTGACAATGCCCAGTCAACATTTATAACTTGTGTAAGCTTCTCCATTGCCACATGCTCTCCCTCTGGAGTTTAGCATTGGAATGAGCAGATAGCCGAACAAAAGTTTGGAAAAGCAGAAGCTGATTCTCTACTAAAAATAAATACAAGATAGTCCTCTGGATATTAAGAAAAGAGCTGGCCTACATGGTTTCCTTATGATTTCCCCAACTTTCTTCCTCACAATAGACTCAAGGTTGGCTTGAGACCTAACTGGGTACTACAGTAAGTGCTAACCTGCGTGTGGTGTGAAGGAGGAAACTAAGTTGCTGTATTCCCTTCAGTGGAATCCTTGACTTGCTTTAGTAAGCCAAAGAGAGGGCAACCCCCCCACCCCACCTAATAGCATCTCTAAATTCTTACAGGATGGACAGATTACAATTATATTGTAAAAAGGAGTAATGGGGAAAACTTGTATAAGGGAAATCACATAAATCTGGGCTGCAGATTTTCATTAAGAATTCTATCTTCTTGTCAGCATAGATGATAGGAAACCCTCAAGAGTGCAAGTTTGTGAGGAGGAGCAATCAAAAGAGTGTAATAAAATGAGAACCTCCTTTTATTTTTTAAATCTTTCCTTAGATGTGTAAGGATGGCATTTGTCTTGTTCTAATATACAAGCTACAACTCTCCCAGGAAGATGACCCAGTTCTAGAAAACATGTGAAGGCCACTGTGTTTTCCTCTTGAGTAATGAGTTCTTCTATTTCAGGAGCTGAAGACAAGGCATGCAACACATTGCACAGCTACATTTTGTAACACAGCACTGACATCAAAAGTGTGTGTTTGCTAAAAGGACAATCACATCTCTCTAGGGAAATCTGTTCCTAACTGAAAACTCTTGTGCAAGGCATCTCTGCTTGAATGATCAAGTGGAAAACAATAGGCAAAAGGAAAGAAAAATGTAGAGGGAAAAGATGCATAGCCAAAATATGTCACATCAGACCTCTGTCTCTTCTGTCACCTAATTTTGTAGTGATAGAAGCAAACCTTGTTTTGTTTTGCTTTTTTGCAAATATATTCTTTATTTCAAATAATACATCATTATGGTGATTGGCAACTAATCACTGGCTATGCGCAATGATATAGCTTGAGTCTCTTGTTTGGACGGTGGTGCTTTACTCAGCTCACAAAAGAGGCAAGTATTGCTTGCAAATCTTTTATTAGATTGAGCCTTTATGTTTAATGCTTTAAAAAACCTTTGATTTAGTTTAGAATCCATCTACAAATGTCTGTATAAGCTAGTTTTCCTATTGACAAAATATCAGGGCAAATCTTTTTAGAAAAACACCATCCTGTGCATCAGAACACCCACTGCACTAGTGAATGTGTTGATCTGGTTCATAATACTCAGGCGGATTTTGGACTTAAGCCTACAGAAAGCTTTTATTCTGGATAAGCAGCTTTCTATATCTAAAACTGCCAAATAGGGACTCCTCAGACCAGCAGTTGATGGACAGCAAAGATGAATGGCTTTTGATTCCGGGAAAACCATCAACAGCAAACTCTGCAGAATCCAAACTAGCTTCTTGTAGGTAATTTAGTATAATGCTTTACTCAACACTGATAAACAAAGAAACAAAAACATATGGACATAAAGTGTTTGAATTATTTTATCATCCACCCCATCCTTTCAAGTTTGAATAAGAAAAAAAAAAGAGATCAATTCCAAGATATTACTGCAGTCCTTCTCCCATTACACAAAATAGGCATTTCTTCTGAAAACAGGTTATTTTGATAACTATGGGGAGTCACCATGGGGCGGTCTTTGGCTAGGCATTTCATCAGATCTCATCACTTGGGCCAGTTCACAAGAGAACAGCAGCAGCACCAGGAGGCCCCTGCAGAGCTTGCACCACCATGTACTCTATATTAATGCTTTCTATTCTGGAAAGAAAGGGGCACATGAAAAGGGAAGAGCATCCATGTGCATGGGCTTGCTGGCAAAAATACAAGGGCACAGGCAAGCCATGTAAGCAACTCATTACACTCTTTCCAAATGAAGGCAGAGGTACTCGATTTCTTCTAGCTTTCAATGTCTCTCACTCTCCAAGCATATGACCTCTCTCCTGCCATCTTTCTCTCTCGCTCTCATTCTCTCTTCTCCAAGCCCTGATGGGAATAATACTGAGTAGCAGAGCCAACACTACTGTGTTGTATGTCTAGAATTAAAACCTGCCTTCTCCTTCTTATACAAACATATGCATGGGGTTATCCCTAAACTCTTGTAGCTCCAAATAACAATTTGTTTTCACTTCTGTTTACCAGCTAAGGTACAGTTGCAGACAAAGATGGTGATCAGCTACACAGGAGATTAAAGCTGATCTTATTTGTATCTGTGGAATCAGTGACATTTCCTAATCAAGACAACACTACCTTAAGTGTGTTTACTTAGACATATTGTGTTCAGCGGAACCTATTGCTATGCAAGTGTGCATCATAGTAGTACTAATGGGTTCATTAATGTCTGCTTGCTATGAGATTAAACAGTAATCCATTTTAAATGTACATTATTGCACACATTTTGTTATTCTTTTTGCGTCTCTCCTTCCAGCCTACTATTCTGCCATTCCTGGCTCAAGTGGTTTAAATCCTTCCTCCTTTGCACTTATATCCCTTTGAAATCAAAGACAATTATATACTTAGGTCCCAATGATTGAACTGGGACTCAAGGACACCTAACTTTTTTTAGATTGCACCCATTGTACTAATTGTAAATTATTCCCTTGTAGGTCCATTATATCTGGCAGATAACTACTCTCTAGGCTGTCTCTTTGATGGATCGATCCTTCCATCTGGACATCCATCAATTTATCATGTTCCATTTTGATAGCTATCTAGTCTTTCACTCATCATTTTCATGAGGTCTTCTGACATAAGACTTTCTTGATGCATTAGGAAATGAATGAATGACTGGATGGGCTGGCAAGTGTAGATGAGTGAATACATGACAGGCTAGTACATGAATCCCCCCCCCCCCCGCCTCCCGTGCACTGTTTTCCATCTGTAGCAGTAACCACAACATCACAGAATTACAGCATTACAGAAGATCATTCTATATCCTCTTGCATCATACAGCTAAAGAGAATTAAACGCTTAGAACAAGTTGCCTTTAACACTGAGCATATACCAGTAACCTCCCAGAGCACTCTAGAAAGGATCTTTGTGATCTCTGAATGCTGTTTTCTTTCAACCCCACTGTTCTCATGTGATTGCCTTTTAACAAATCATCATTGTCATGGTCGTTGTCATCATCACCCACACAATAGCAAAAACATCAATTTCAGAACTCTGAAGTTATAAACATACAGCACAGAATGCTTTGGCATGCTTATTTCAGGCTTGGGGAAGCAATGAAATAAAAGGCCAGACTCAAAAGTGAAACTTACAGAGGAGAAATGTGCAAAACAAAGATGGGTTTCTCAAGCACATGAGTTTCATCACAGCATCAGGCATGCACTGGTTTTAACAAAAGCAAGGCCATCATTGTCTTTAGTGTTAAAGGGACTTTATTAACGTTGAGCAAAACAAAGTTATCCACTTTTTAATCTAAAAAAGGTTTAACGTTTTGGAAACAGGTTCTGGTCAGAAGATGAAGTGTTTGTTAGCGTTTACTAATAAGGTTTCAGTGTTTAGTCTATTTAATACTTCAGGGCAGGACTTGCCCATTCGGTGTCCTCCAAGACAAATGCATGGGCTGTCAACCTCATGCTACTCACTCTCATGTTTGGTTTTCTGCTCAAAATGGGGAGAATAAAGAGGGAGAAGTCTGTCAGATTCCTGGGTGGTGAAATGCATTTGGTGTGATGGGAGATGAGTTTATGGGCCTGTCTAGCATTCAATGTGTTTCATATTTTAAAAACCTTATATGGTAGATCAGTCTTATTATAAAGCCAGTGCAAGCAGCAGCATTTATGGCAGTTCTTAGAGGTCTAAGTGCACAGACAAAGCTCACCACAACTGGTTCAGTTTTGTTTGCTTCTTCTGGGCCAGAGGTAGAGGATACCAGCCACAAGAAGACCTCACTGACTGTGAGTGAGGTCTCCTCTGGACTGATGTTGATGACCTTAGCTATCAAGGCAGAAGCTGAGAGACAAAGGGCCGCTGAGGATTACCTGGTGGGTTCACAGCTGCAATAAGAGGTGAACAATGACTGTCTGGACTACAACCATTGTGCAGCACTAGCTTTCAGTGTTCTCATCAAATTTCGTTTTGATTGGTTTGTGTGAATATCTTCTCATACATATTATCCTCCCTCAGAACGATGAGGCTTCCTTATCTATCTTCATATCTCCCTCAATAAGCTGTTTAATGGACAATCCTCTTCCTACTAATAGCTTTTGTTAGCAGAATTTATTGTTTTCTGCTCTAACAAAAAATCAATTAGTGCTGAAAAGAAAAAGCAACTTTGAGCATATTTGTCTTTGTTTTAATTGCCAGCTTCTTTTCAGCTCTCACCATTTTTCAGGCCAGCTTAAGCTACTAATAGGTTCGGCCTAGTAAACAATGAGGTTGAGTGGGCTGTTTATTGTTTTGCGCTCTCTTTCTCAATCTCTATCTATTGCTTCCCCCCTGTGTGTATTGGGGAAATGTGTGAAGAATTGATTTTTTTTTTATCTTGGTTTTTTTTTGGGGGGGGGGACACACACCCTCCAGATCCAGTAGATTTGATGCCAATAGGTATCTTATTTTTCTGAGCAGGGGTGTCTTTTTCCTTTTTAAAAAAATCAAAACTCAGTTCGCTTATTAATTATTAAAGATTCACATCCATTATTTTTTCTCCTTTAAATCACTTTTCTGCTGCAATCCTATAATACTTGGAAGGGGTACAGGAGAAATCAGATCTTCTCCTCTAAGGGTACAAAACAGAGTTCTGCCCTCCCAAATGGAGATCTGAATCTCCAAGAAGCTCCCACAGAATCTTTCCTGATCCCTCTCTCTCTCTCACACACACATCATGACTTCAGCATGGGAGTAAGACACAGGCATGGTAGGGATCATTAATCTGGGAAAGACTGGTGATCCAAATCACCAGCTAGACTACATCAGCCCTAAAGCCTTGATTTCAACGGGCGAGAACTAGTTAATTAATCAAATTTTCAAAAGGAAAGGGGAGCAAAGGGAGAGGAAGATAGAACTGAAATTTCTCTCTCACTTCAAACAGACAGAGGAAAGCCATACTAGTTGTGGATTTCTGGGCTGTGCAGTCCAAAAGCCAAACATTTCCAATCCTTACCCTGAATTCAGGGAAGCTTCATGGCCACCTTTCCTGGAAAGAGAACAGTTTTATGTGGGAAAGTGGGGAAGGAATTTTGGTCTGTACACAAAAATCTGAGCCCATATTAGTGGCGCTCTTTACATTCTGGAGAGTGCTATCTATGAGACATAATTTTCATAATCTCCTATGCCAGCAGTAGAATTTAAGAATGCTTAGCTTTCTCTTAAAAATAAGTTATTCTTTAATTTCAATCATTTGTGGACTATGTCCCCAGAAGGCAAGACATCCCTCAAGTGCATAGAGGTGTTTTATGAAACCACTGGAACTTATCTATGTAATTATTGCCTTGTTTCCTGAAGGCTGCATATCCAATCTCCCCCCAAAAATCAATGGGATGGTTTATTGTCAAAGCGCAGGCAATATGGTTCAATCTGCATTTAGAGAAGTCCATAAGCAAAAATGATGCTGCATGAAACAAGTGTATGTTTCTATAATACAAATTAAGATTTATCTTTAGAGGCAAATCTGCATGAGCAGTTCAGTGCCATCCAGTCTCTATGCAGAAACAAAGCTCCACAGGGCTTACTCTTAAGCAAGTATTATAGGATTGCAGCCAATGACACGAATAGCTGGCCTGGGAAAACAGACCAACTATCTGCATTTATGTATATATATCCTGTACTGTAGAAATGTATCTGCAGGTCTATTCTGCTAATCCACATGGGACTCTTTCATGTGAAGCAAAATAGGGGGCTGTGTGCACTGAGCCGCTTTGCATATGCATGGTTCCCTCATGGGTAATAATCAATGGAAGGGTATGAATGTATAGTTTGAAAAATATTCACATTTCATATGAAACACATATTTTTTACCTCTTCTTTACTGCAGTTTATGTAAATATTAAACATGCTGTATGTTGATCTCAAGGGATATGTGGGCAGTTCCTCAAATAGGTTAGATAAGTTAAAATTACTAGGACAGCTACAGCTGTAACACAGTTAAATAAGAAATGGAGGAAGGACTGAAAATATTGCTTGACCATGCAGGTTTCAAATCAGTCTTTAAGGCACCTTGAATGACAAAAATATTGCTCTAGTTTAAATATATAGATAATTTTTAAAAGCTCATGCAGTGATTAAATTGTCATAATACATGTTGTTGCAACTTTTGGTTGTTTAAAGTGTTTTTTAAATTTTTGCTTCTATATTTGTTGCTTTTCAGTAGTAAGCTTAGAATTCCGTCCCTTTAACTTTGTTTTAATAGCAATATATTATAGCATGATTTATCAACATATGGCAGGTGGAAGTTGACACAAATTATAATGAAAATTAAAAGAGTCATTTATGCAGCAGGCAATTCTAATTTAAGAAACATTTATTTGCAGGCTTTAAAAATGAGTTTAGAATCAAATGGATTTAAAATGAAAGTTTTAACAACTGTTACCTTTTTCCTGCAGCCATTCCTCTACGGGCCGATTATATTTGAAGGGGATTTTCTGTTTTACCAATTGGAACGCAGTATCAGTGTTGCCTTTAAAGTTTAAAAAACAGCTTAAAAACAATCTGAAAAGTCAATAAAATAGTTAAAGACATCCTAGGCTTGTTTCTTTGTTTTTATTTATGAAGGTATTTAAATATACAGAAATATGAAGATGTATATTTAATCTTCTTTTAGTGTGGTAGAGAAGAGTTACCCTTTCATTTCCTGACATGTGAAGATCAGTAGATAAAAACAAAGATCATTCCTTGCCTTTTACAAACATAAGAAGCTACCTTATACCAACTCTGGTCCATGTCCTGGAGGCCCCCCAGCTAATATGATGTTCAGTGTATCAGACAGGATTTTTTCCTGGCCTTATCTGAACATGCTGCTGATTGAGCCTAGGACCTTCTACAGGCCAAGGAAGTGCTCCAGCCTTGAACAACAGTCCCTTACTACATTGCTGCTGATGGCAACTGAGACACTGAAGCCCTATTTGGGCATTCCAAGGAACATGTCATTGATGCAAGGGTAGCCAGATACATGGATACCAAAAGGAGGACATAGAATGACAAAAAAAGAGAACAGAGGAGGATGTATTGAATGTTTCATTTGAATTGTTCCAGATTAAACCTACAATCAATACAATTTTATTACAATAGCTGCCAATAAATGTCTCTTAGTGAACCGATCAAAAAGCAGTCATGTTAAAAAATAAAAATAAATTCAATGGAGGCTTTTTTCCAAAATACCAAAAAAATTTTTTTTAAACAGCCAATTGTACCCAAACCCACCCAGGCCTGGCTGCAGGATCCCACGGCGGCTTGCACTGGGGAAAGACAGGGGGAGGGGGAGTCCTTCTACCTCTCCCCCTCCCATCCAAAATTATAGCAAAATATACAAAAGCCTGACATTTTAAAGGTTTTTATCTTTGCCTGATGGACAGAAGACATTAGGCTAAAAAGGAGGACATGTCTTCCTTTTGCCTGACATCTGGCAACCCTAGCCCTACCTGTTCTCTGACAAATGGGATACTTGACAACTACAGTTAATTTAGCACCCATCTTTCCTGGCCCATTTAAGCTGAGCATTTTACCATGCTCTATCACAATCAAGAAACAGAACTAAACATGGAAGTGTTCCGATACAGAAGGCATTATTCTCTACACCCGTGGCCATCAAGGTTAGATTAGGCTGCATTCCAGTGGTGTCTCTGAGAGCAATCCTTTCCTTGGGGTGGACAGTATCCAGAAGACTGAGAGATGCTGAGGAGTCCTCAAAACAGGGCAAAACTACTCCCCACATGCCCCAGAGGGCACAGAAAGCTGTTTTGAGACACCCTGCCACGTTAAAAAGAGTTATGAGGAATGCTGGGGTCCTAGTATTGCTGGAGTGCTATATTTGGGTCCATGGGGGATACATGTTATCCATCCCACTTTATTTTTTTCCTACCTTCCCTTTTCTGAGCTTAGATTAAAGGCAAAATTACTTCATTCCCTTGAGATTGCTGCTAAGAGACGGTATGTTGAATGCTCCCTGTGTAAAAACAGAAACTCTCCCATCTAGCAAAATAAGAAACCTAGAACATCAAGATGAAAGGTTCAAATCCAGCCCATTCCCTGCCATAAGAATAGCTTTCTAATTGTGGAGAAAATTTTCTTTCTTAAATTATACAAAAATAGGTTGTAATTTGGAATGCAGTAGTCCAGCAGTACAGTATTGGACTAAGAATACAAGCCTATTTTGAAGCAAAGGCTCTTGACATGATTGAATGCTTATGGAGTGTGCTGAGCAGCAGGACAACAGTAAGTTTCTCTCCCTTTTCACCCTTTACTACCTGTGCTACAGTCTATACAGCATAAGAACATAAGACAGCTTTTCTGGACCAGACTGAAGGCCTATCTTCACATGTAGCCAACCAGTTGCCTCTGCCAAGGCCAGATGGAGAACATGAGCATGATAGTACTGCCATGCTCATGTTCTATTGGGAAAGCACAGGTTGTATCTTGCAGACTAGTGGAAAGAGAATAAGTGGAAAGGGCAGATTCTTCCCATCTCCTGTAGTAAGTGGTCATATTTAAAATGGAAAGCACTAAAAAGAGATGCTGCATAGGATGACTATTGAAACATAGCTCAGAAACAGAAAGGGACATTTGCTGTTTCTCTCTGTAAGACTTGTAAGAGGAGGAAAAGGCCCTTCAACCAAAGACATGCTGAGTTATTTCTCTTCCTTTGTTTTAAACAATACAGCTCCTTTATTTATTCTTACAACAACCAGTGTGTGCTGCAGATCTTAAGTTTAACAGTGACCCTCCATCTTGGGAAGTAACGGAGCTGCGTTTGATCCCAGGTTCTACTCAGACTTTGAGCCTGCTTGTCTTGCTTGCCTCAAATGCTTCCTTACAGAACAAGATTACTTTTCCAACAGAAGGCCTGGCTGGCATTTGTCTGGCAGTAAATTCATATCTGATTTTGAGCTTAAGCAGCATTAGCAGGCAGTTTACATTTGGATGTCAGGACTGTTTCTTTAAATTCAGACATGAAGCAGGGCTACAGCCTGGAAGATTCCCGTTAAGACTTCCCTGCTGGCACATTTAAGAACTGAAAGCTCTGTGGAGGGGTTGGAGCAAAGGGCAGAGAATCATAGTCAGTTAGCTGTAAAAAGACCTGCTGGCTGCAGGGGGATGATGATGACTCCAGTTCTATAAACATTTGCCCTGTCTGACTTTGAAGAGATAGTTAATTAAGCACTATGGGCAGACATGCCTGTACTCACTCTTCTGTACTTGTGCCTCAGGCCCAATGTCAACCTGGCATTGCCCTATAACCTCTGCGATTAAGGCTCAAAAGGCAGTGTAAAATAGTGGAAGTATGCTTGTCAGTCATGCTTCCAACTGCATTCATGATATAGACGGCCGCCTGTGGCATACAGTGACCTGGAAGGATTTGTTCTGGCAATCCACAATCATTCCAATTCAAATAAAGAACAGATCAAGAAGTCAATTCTTAAACCACTTCACTGTTGAACAACTGCACTGATTGTTCCAGTGGATCCCAAAATAAGCAGCCGGAGGACAGAAACCCATAAAAGTCAGTGTTTTTTTGTTTCTATATATCTAACAGATTCCTTGATGCCTATTCAGCATGAAGGAATCAAAAGGAGGAAAACGCAATGGTGAGGAGTAAATTAATGACTCTGAACCTACATGAACCAGCATAGATAGGCAGAAATACTTTGGAAACTAAAAATATGCATGCCTAGGGAATGTAGATGTCTATACAGAAATTGTGGAAATTAGAGTGCCACAGACAATCAGATGCTCTTGGCTGTTTATGAGACTGAGTTCTTGATAGTATTTATGACATGAATGGATAAAAATAGTGAACTAGGTCTTAAAGAAAAGGGACCTCTGAATCAGATCAGTCCTTGTTTCTTCTTCTTCTGGATAATGTTGACATTTTCCTTAGTGGCAAAGTATCCTGTTTCTGGCAAAGCTGAGGCTGAGCACATCATAACAGCAAAGTCCTGATACTCCAGAGTCTACATGGACATACTCCAAACAAAGAGGTTGACTCAATTAGGGCAATCCACAAGCAGTGTCATCGTGAATGTGCAAAGCAGACACAAGGGGATCGAGGAAGGAACTGGAAAGAGCTAAAGCTAATATGCAAGCATTGCTTCATTAACCTGTATTGAGATTTTTTAAGGTGGAGCTCCCAGAACCCACCAATGGCTCGTCTGCAGGCATTTAACCTGATGTTTTCTCCCATAAGGAAGGCCTTACTTACAATGAGAGGTTTGGAGGAGTTTTTTAGCTGGGTACATTTCTCCAAGGGGGCACCACCCTTGCCCATCTTTGCAAATGCCAGCACTGTGTTAGGCTGGAAGGAGGTCCCACTTTTCCTTGTGAGTCAAGAATAGAATTCCCAGTCTCTTTGGGTGGGGATCTTTTGAGCTTTTTCTCTGAGGAGTCAGCGCCATTAGAAGCCATCTGTTTTTCTGTGCCATTGGCCCAGGAAGCTCTGGGACATCTCCATGTATGTGAGGATCTGTCTAGTGAAAGCATTCTACCCAGTACAACAGAGGAAAGTGGCAATGGCTTGGGGTGTGAAGATGTTTTCAAGCTTAATCCCTGGCAGCCCTAATTAAATGTAGGTGAAGGCAGGAGTTAGAAAGACCCCTACCTGAGAAATTGTAGGGCCATTCTCTGCAAGATTCAGATATACTAGGCTATACAGATCTGTGGTCTGAATTACTTCAAAGGAGTAGCAGTGTATTAGCTTTCCCAAATAAGAGAAAAACAAAGTGAGAAAGCAATAGGCAGTCTGAGAAATAGGTGAACTTTTCCAGCATCTTGTTTCCAATAAAGAGAAAGGAGATCTGTTCCAATGAACAGAAAGGAGATCAGAACATTCTCAAGGGAGGGAAATGGAAGGAAAGAGAATCTTGGTAGGAACAAGGGGACCAAGAACAAAGGCTGGGACACTCCTTTGTCCACTGATAATCTCTGAGCTTGGCAGAGGAGCAGTGGCCTGAAGGGCTAGATATTCATTGGTAAAAGTGGTGATAAAGAATGGTTCTCCATTAGACAACCCATGAGGTTTAAGCCTATTCTTTGTGAATGGCCTTTAGACCTTTCTGTGACTGTGCTAGAGGAAGTGTATATAACGCAAAAGACAAAACAGAGGAAGAGTGTTTCATTTGTTATTCTTCATTCCCGGTTTCTTGACGATCACGACAGTTGATTACAAACCAAAATGATCAAGATCTCAATAATGCAGTTTTTAGTCATTTTACTTTGTAACCAATAATTTTGACCTGAAGATGCTTCCACGTTAGAGACATCCACTTTGATTCCAGATTGTGCATTGCAAAATGACATGACAAATGCTAAGGGACATGGGCGATTATGGCTCTTAATTACATTTTTGAAAGCCACAGTAAATAACAGATTGGTGGAGGACAATGAAGTGAGGACCTAGACAGGGTGGAATCTTGACTAACACATGTTTACTTGAAGAACTGTTTCATTTACTTCCAGCCTTCTGGT